GCTCGTGTTTGGATGCTACCGAGGAATAACCAACCTAGCAAAGTAGCGCATCTCAACCCATTATTAGTCTAACGAGCTCTCACCCATCGCGATGCGCTGACAGTCATGGTCTAAAAACACGTCAGCTGGCGGTGCAGCTTGATCCCCCTTTGGGTTTACGTTTGTGTGTGTTGTGAGAGAGGCAGTGAAAAGAGTGAGAACATGAGAGGGCCAGTGAGAGGAATAGGAGTAAAGGAGAAGACTGATTGAGTACCGGAACAGTTTGTTTATTGTGCTGAGGTTTCAAAATCATACAGGAGTTAATCGTCGGAGATAGCAACCGCAGCAGCAACAGCAAAAACGCGACAATTACGCGGAATGCAAACCAATCAACTGTCAGTGACATAGGTTTGGAGGTGACTGCGTAGGGCTCCGTACACCGGTGCTTAATCGATGCACCCATTGATTAAGTTGCCACTCGTGGACCAGACTTAAATTAATTCCCGGCTCGTCTTGTTTTCGGTGTGGGTGATTATCTTGACGTCTGCAAAGTTCAACTTACGATCGATCTTGTAGGTGTGAGCAGCAACTTGTGATAATTCGTCGCCCAGCCAGCTTATGCTCACGTCTGCGCAATTCTAGCATGCGTTCAGTTTGACGTGTTTAATTACAAGGACAGCTTAGTCATGAGATGTGATATGAAACCCCAGATTACCCTTTGGGATTTAGATAGTACTTTATTTATATCAAACTACTGCGCATGATAGGTTTCGGCTGATCTGCAATTCCCGTACGTAGTCTTGCAATGGTGCGCTTAATCACTTCTGAGACCTCCCTGGTGCGTGACAGAGTCTGTCATATCGTCGGTAATAACGTTTTGGTCCTCGGAGGCCAAACAAGTAGGTATCAGAGGCAAGAATGATTAGTGAAGACTAAAAATACTTTGGACTTATAATGAAAAACTACTTCCTTCTGTTCAGTAGGCATACCTACCGTCTTCTCTCATCGCGGATTCACTAAGATGCACGAGTTGGTTCCAGCGCCGGTTTTCGTTCTTCAATTTGCACGTTTCCCCGCTCCCCCCTAAACATTGTCTCGGTGACCTTGCCCAAGGTCTGCGGACACCCCCGCCAACTTACACGCGTTCACCTCTGGTCCAGTGGGGGTTAGTAATAATGTTAAAAAAGTGTTAAAAAGTATGCCTACCGAACAGAAGGAAGTAGTTTTTCATTATAAGTCAAACACATATTTTAAGCCTGACTAATCATTCTCGCCGTATCAGCTTATCAACGCTTTCGGAAAGACATTTCATGTAAATTGGTCGCGGAGGTAATCATACTTCGCGCACTTTTTCCTCCGGTCAGCTGCAATGAGTCGGAAAGCGTTTGAAGATCGTTCTTACAGAGCTTCGTTTGTGAGCTACTGGATGGTTGTTGTGAAATTTGATAAGTTGTGTGGTGTTCGTTGCCTTCCCGTAAACCGTCGACTGAATCTCACTATGGATTTTTCGCCTGACGAGGAAATCAAGGAAAGGCAGCTGCTGCCGCTCTTGTTCAGGCACAGCCGCAGGGCAGACTCCAGCCCCTATTACCTTCGAGCCCGGTCCAGAATAGGAATGGAAGACGTTGAGCGTCAATAGATAAAGCATTAAATTCTGTACGGAATGAATATTGAATAGGTTGGAGCAATTTGACAGCCGGGCGAGAGCACGAGTCCGGCGCTGCGGTAGCTCAATCCATTACGAACATTCTAGTCGTTAAAACCTCCAGATCCGGTCCCGTATAAGGAGAAAAGAAGTGGGAAGCCAGTTGGGGGATGTTATGTTCAGAAGAAGAGGCTGTGATCACTGAAACAAGAATTTTATTTTCCTGACGTTTCGGATTCCATCGGGAATTCTTAATCATTGGTGAGGGTAGGGTAATCAAAGTCATGCGCAGATAGGGTTGAAACATGCACAAGTTGCACGATATTTATATTTCATAGCGGTCATCCGCGTGTGTTTGATAATTGTTCACTTCTATAGCCACCGCTTGGGTTTTAATTGAAGCGGTACTGGCTTGACACTTCGCGTTTGACTCACTAATTGTCACAGTTGCCTTGTCAGCGTTGGATGCGGGCATGATAATTGCGTGACAATTATGCCCGCTGTCGTCAGAGTTGTTGCTGCGCCCGGTCCTTCCCACAAGACTGATTTTCTTGCTCGGGAAACTTATCAGCACACCGTGCGGGAACGCCAAATCGTTGCGTTTGTTGATGGACTGGGGGCCTGAGAGCAATGACACCAGCAGCTTGCGGCCCACCCGGTTGTCACCTCTTGCGAGGATTTCGGCCTCGTCGAAATTCAAAATATGGCCGGGTCCCGTCGGGTGAGCTAAAACCTGGGAGTTGGCGCCTTTCTTCCTCACCGCCGCTGCATGTTCGGCCATTCGCGTCCGGAGTAATCTACCCTACTCTACCATCACCTATGATAAAGGATTCCCGACGGAATCCGAAACGTCAGAAAAATAAAACTCTTGCTTCAGTGATCGCATCCTCTTCTTCTGAACTGCTTCCTGGAACTCGCATATTGTCCACTATTGGCAAGGATTTTGTGTTATAAGCAGAACTGTTAGAGAAATGGTCGGAAGAAGTTTGAAGACGGATGAGGACCCAAATCCGGCGTTGCGATAGCCGGCGTCACAAATGAGAGTGGAACAGTTGCCATGGCGCATTTAGCAAGAGTATGTTTGCGTCGGTATTTAGTATCCATCCTTTAACAAAATCCGTTGAATAAAGAACAAAAACCTGTTTAACTGTCGCGGTATCTCAGGCCATAATGAACACTCTAGCCATTACAACATTCAGACACGTTCCCATAAAAGGAGTAGAAGAGAATTTAGGCACCAGTTGTGACGATGTTGTATTCCGTACAGATCTATTGGAGAAAAGGTTGGAAGTAGTTGGCAGCCAGAGAAGGGCACATGTTCGGCGCCTTAGAGAGCGGCAACCCAATTGTAAGTGAAGCAGCGTCCCGAGCAAGCGCATGTCTGAGTTAGCCTTGAAAATGAATGGCCGATTAGCACAGCCGTGACTGACCGAGAACCAGGTTGCGCAAGCTATCAGAAACACTGTAGCCGTTAGACCCTCCACACCCGGTCCCGTATAAGAAGAGGAGTAATGGGAAGCCAGTCGGGAGGCTGTTGTATTCCATGCAGAAGTAGTTGGCAGCCAGACAAGGGTACATATCCGGGGCCACGACAGCAGGTCCCCTGACTGAATCGTAACAACGCCTTGAGCGAGGGCATGCCAGAATCGGCCTTGTCTTTGATTGGTCAGTTTGGACATCCGTGATCGGCTAATACCAGACTGCCCTTACAAATGTGCGCGTGAGGCTTATTATGCAAAGGTAGTTTAAATAGTGCACCTCATATACCCCCAGTTCCAGCATTTTGTTCTTCTGAAACGGCGGTTATAGTGGTTTTTCGGGGAAGGAAAATTGGATAGACAGTGAAGGAAATTTATAAAAGAAAATTTAGTTGAATTTATTTCCCGCGGCCGCTGGGAGTGAGTTGTTTTGCATGTAGATCGAAGGTGTGCGCGGCGATTCGCGCCACGAACTTCACTAATCTAACTCCCGAACGGTAAGTTGGACCCCAGGTAATTTGAAGTAGACGTCCTCCTAACTACC